CTGTTCTGGTCATCCACTCATTTCTCAACTTTTCCACAAGAGAATAAGAGAAATACAAAAGGACAAACAGCCTGCCCTGTTCTGAGCATCCTCATTGCTTCCTTTTAGTCCCATGAGCAGATGACACCCTGGTATTTATCAAGCCTAAGTGAAGTTTCAGCCTTCCTCAGGATCCAGTGGAATAGCTCTGAATCCAACAGAGACATTTCTTTTTAGTTAATTTAAGGTTTAGCTCCTGTGGGCCTTGGACTCAATGCCTGAGTAACATCCCTCTCTCCCTGGCTGCAGGGATGCTCCTGTGATCCAAACCCTTTCCCAAATCTTTTTTGTGCTACACCTCCTTGTGCCACAGAAACAAGCAGTGCAATTTCTGCTGATTTCCAGAGATTTATTTCCCAGGGCAGCAGCAAGGGCAGGGTCCAGCTGGTTACTCTTGGCCAGACTAAACCATCTCCCAACAGGAACTGTTCATGAAGGCAGAATAACAAAATCTCGGATCATTGCACTGATTTAGTGCATCTGGGTGCTCTCAGCTCCTTCCTGACATCTGTCACTCACCTTCCCTGGATAAAGAGACTGCATAATCCAAGGGACTGAGAAAGGAAGGATATCAGAAACGTGCTTTAAGTTGATTCAGTGTTTGAGATGCTTTGCTGCAATCATTTGAAGACCAAAGGATTAGAGAGGGTGCTGTGCGCAATCCTAAACTGACCTTCCCACTGCTCCTTCCAGCCCTGTACCCTGTGTCAGTGCAGTGCATTTAAGGGTGCTGGGAGGTGCTGGATCACCATCCCAAACAGTTTTACTGACCCAGGGGTACAAGGAATACTCCTGTTCTGTCCTTGTGCTTCGGCTCCAGTTCAGCAAGGCAGCACCAAGCCCACCCTGCCATCAGGAATAATGCCAGGCTGGCAGGGATGAAGAGGTGGATGATTCTAGACACAAAATCTTTCCAGAACAATACATCAGCACTCCAGGAGCTGGTCACGGACTTTTCAGCCTGGGAAACAAAACCACTCCATGTCTCATCCTCTTCACCAGTCATAACATGAATTATCATCTTTATTAAGATGACACATTGAAAACCAGGGGAAGAGATTTGTTTATTTTAGGAGGATCCAGCTCTAAAATCATCCCAAAGCCCATCAGTTGCAGAGGCTGTTGCAGCCTCACCACAGCTGATGTGCCTTCAGGACAAAAGGAAACAGAACAAGACCCCACCACCAAACTGAACTCAGTGTGGAGAGAAGAGACTCATTTGTGTGGAGGTGCTTCCCTTCTCTCTGCTCTGAGGTACCAGCAGGTGAAAGGCACTGAGGAAGGGAGAAGCCACTCCTAATAAAGGGCTGCATGTTGGGTGAGCCAAGCTCCCAGGACACATCTGCACACCAGAACATTTCACCCTGCCAGGATCTGACCCAGCTGGAACTTCCCCTTTGCTTATGGCCAGGTTACAGAGGGGTCACTGTCCTTTCAAAGACAGGTTAGCAGGACTGAGAAAGAACAATATCCACCCAAAAAGTCAGGCGGTTCTACACCTCCTTCCGTTACTTTCCAGTTGATTTGTTGAGATGCAGGAGCACTGAGAAAAGTAATATGTTGTGATATTTAAGGGATTTTTCAAAATGCTGATCTATTGTGTGACACTGCATGGACAGTGCAGGCAGTTCTGCACTGGTGCTCACTCTGCAGTCAGTGTTCTGCCAGCCCTGTGCCAGCTGTGCACAGTACAGTACACAGCTCCCATTGTGGGTAAAAGCCATGGTGTCTACATCCAACATAATTCACATTTAGAGGATTAGAGATAAAATAATCATATTTATGTATGTATTGTTTATAATTTGCTGTTTCATGGGAAAGGATACAATTTACCTCACAACAAAAGTGTTAGCACTGTGTTAGTAGTGTTGTATTTATGGGCTTCACATACATTGCAGATACTGCTATTCTGAAGGAAAACCCATAGCATTTTTATATGGAGAAATGCACAGTTTATCAAAAGAAAATGGTTTTGGATAAGAGTAGAAAATGTACAATGTGGGGTTTTTTTGCTAAAAGTAATATAAACATCTCTTTTTACCCCCACAAAATTCAAACCCAAAGAATTTATATCAATGCAGCATCTCATTCTGCTGTTGTTTGTCACAGTAGTAATTTAGTAGTAAAGTCTGGAGGATCAGACTCACAGTGTCAAACTGGAAATGGTGCCACAGGAGAAGTTTATCAAGTACATTTTGTGTTAGGAACTGGGCTAAGGGGACTCATTCCTTCTAATAAAAGCAATGTTGCACTATAACTTGTCTATAGGAGGGACTGGGTTCAGTTAGATTAAAAGCTGGTGAGAAACAATAGATAAAACAGACAGGACTTGGGACAGCCAAGGAAGCCCTGAGAATGTGGTGGATAAATGGGGTGTCTTGGACCAAACCACACCACCTCCACACCAGTGCAGGGAGTATTGTCTGTATGAAGTCACTTAAAGCTGTTAAACTTCTACACAGCAAAACAGGTCCAAATATCAGTGCTCACACTGGGTGGCACCAGAGGAATCTCCCAAATGGTCAGAGTGTGGATATTCCAGATGGCTTCCACACCTGGAAAAAAATAAAAGATAAATATCCTTAGCCAGGCCCTTCCTGTTTAGAGTATCGTTCCAAATTTGTCCCAAGTTTTTAAAGACCTGAAAGCACTCACTGCAGCGTCCTTCCTCCACTTGACAGCAGTTTATCACCAATTCCATTTCAGGGCTATTTGACATTAAATTGATGACCACAAGCCTGACAGTGTGTGGGGCAACCTCACACCCCAGGCTCATGTTCTCATCATGCTGACAACAAAGTTGATTCTTTTTATACCTTTGGAAGTGAGCTAAAATTGCCAATAAATTACCTGACACTACTTCCAGTTCAGGTGTTAACCCCTGCAGCCAGGATTTAAATGGCCACTGCTGTGATATTTGCATCTCTCAAAGGCAAAATTTGCAAAAATCTGAAAATACAAGGCCTTGGAAAGCCAGTGAGAGTGTGTTGGACACACTGCCAACAGAGATACCTTTAAAAATGTACAAATGAGAAACACAATTCAAATTTTGTAAAGTTTTGGAAATTTGAGTTCTAGCACAAGGGCCTTACTCCCCAAACATATCCCATACCCAAAAGTTCTTTGCACTGAGTATTAAGTAGGACACTTGTCCATAACCTTTGATTTAACACTACAGTGTTGGTTTTTGGCACAAGATACTCGGTAAAAGCTCAGCACATTTCTTGGCTCTCTGTTCTAAATGCTTATGAAGATCCTCAGCCAACAGTCAAGTGCTTCCAGAAAATTAACAATCCTCCTCTACATGCTAATTCCCCTGGTGTCATGTGTATGTTTCTAGTTGGTTCTCTCAGTCTCAAGCATCAGCCCATGATAACATAAACTGCCTTGGAGCCATTGTCTTCTTTCTAAACTTATTGTGACTGCAAAACATCAAGAGGTGTCTCCCAAAGGAAAAGAGCAAACCTTGCTGAGAACTCGCTGATAACATCTATCCTTGTAAACAGCACTGCACTTCCTAAAACACATACTCACTCTACACAATACTCAAAAGAGTAAATTTTGTTATCCCTGATTCCATCAGGAAATAAATTCTGTATTTGTTCAACTGGCACATAGCCAGATAAAAAATATATCCAGGCCAGACTTGACAGCCAAGCTTGGTATATGGCATCTCCAGCAATTTTTCTGCATCAATAAAATTTTGATGCTGAGCAGCTAGTGGGAGGTTTGTTTGGTTTGGGTTTTTTTTGGTTTTTTTGGTTTTTTTGGTTTTTGTTTTTTTTTTCTATTTGTTAAAATCCTGAATAATTTTTCCCATAATTTATTCTCTTTACCATTAGCAATTCCCCCATTCTCCCTCTATTAGCAATGCAATCCCCCATAAATACATTTCTGGGCAATTAATTCCCATGTATAATCATGCTATCAGTTGTTTCTCTAGGTGAATATTATTGTTTAACCTTTGGTACTGTCTCTGTGGTTTGTCTCAAAAGGGTGTTTGACTTGGCAATAAATTATTGTAGTTATTCTCCTTTAAGAAGATTTATTACTGAACACAAATAATACATTTAAAGATTTTTATTTTTTTTTTAACCAGAGTAAAGCAGTTGCAACCAAATAATCCCACTCTGGATGAGTCTCTTCCTGCACTACAAATCAGTTTCTTGGGATGCTGCCTCCCCTCACAAACCAGAGCAAGCCATGTGCCACAAAAACAGACTCCTGTGCTTCATTCTTGCCCAAAACTTTCTCTGCAAATCCTCACAGCCTTCTTACACCCCTAACAACAGGCAATTCCTCTGTTCCTCCTGTGTTCCATTGAGTCAGGACCGGGAGTGAGGTGACACAGACTCTAACTCTCTTCAGCAGGCCGAATCCAAGTTTATTGGAAACGCTTTCTTTTATACATCATTCCCATACAGGTGGACCTGATTGGTCATTTCATCACCACCCCATTACACAACTGGCTAATTAAGAAGACACCTTTTGGTAAACATCTTGGGAGAAAACAACTGTTCAAAGCACCAGCTGCAAGATTAATTCTTTCTCTTAGCCTTCTCAAAACTCCCAAGAACAATTCCTGGGAAAGAAATTCTGTGTTTCTGTCTCCAACCAGACTGTCGCATCCACACCTCTTGCAGCTCACCTTTTGGCACTTCCACTTTTGTCCTTGTGCGCTTCAGTTCTTTCAGCATCGGTCAGTTCAGGGTACAAGGAGTCTGGTGAGGAAGAAGCCATCAGAACTGTGGGTCAGACAGCTCTGGCTCCAGCAGGATGTTCCCAATAAACGGGGCAGCTACTGCCCGTGTCCCGCTGGAGTCAGCTCCTGGCAGCCGCAGGAATCGGGACTAGCCGGGATGTCCCCAGGAGCAGGGCTGGCTGCGGTGGCTGGCTGAGGCTCTGCGGACCCCTGTGACAAGTGACACATTTCTCCTCTCTCTCTCTCTCTCTGTGCACAGCCATTGCCTCGAACCAGAGCAGCGCTTCCAGCGCCTTGCCGAGCCCCGCGGAGCACGGCGGTGACAGCAGCCTGCTGGTGTCCCCGCTGCTGGTGGCAGGGGTGGTGATCGGGCTGGTGCTCCTGCTGTCCTGTGCCACCATCGTGGTGGGCAGCCTGCGCAGGGACAGCCGGGCCCGCCAGCCCCGCCCGGGCAGGGCGGCCGCGGACGGTAAGGGGCACCGGGAACGGCAGGGATGGGAATGACGGCAATAACGGGATCGGTCACGGCAGCTTGGCAGGGCAGTGGCAGCGCTGTGCTGGGTGCCCACACGGGTGATGGTCAACAGAGCCGGCTGACAGCGCCTCCCGAACGGCTCACTGCCCTCGGCGTGGCATAAGATCTGTTCTCCGGGGCGTTTTCACATCCCCCTGCAGCCTTGGTGCAGCATTTGCTGGGATTTCTATTTCTTGCGAAGGCAGAGCTGTTCTCATTTCAGCCAAGTGCACCGGCCTACAACAATCACTGGGCAAATGCAGTTTATCTGAGTGAATATTTGCCTGGAAACAGAACAACAGGGCACCAGATATCAATGAACTGTCACCATCATTAGCAGTGTCATTGATGACATCGGTGTCACCACAGCCACCATCGTTAGAGACTCAATAAGGTGCCAATTCCTACCTCCTAACCAAAATAAAACCCATGAAACAAAACCAACACATAACAAAAAACCTTACAAATAATTTGGGAATATCAAGGAGTTAATTTTAGAGTTGTGTTTTCAGCCCTTTTGGGCTTTGCTTTGTCAAGGAAATGACAGAAGATTATTTCTATTTAAGGAAAAAAAACGGTTTTAAAAGTTACTGTGTAATTCTTCAGACAGTAAAAATTCCAGTGATAAATGGTGGACCATCAACAACCCTGTCCTCTGCGAGCAGGCTCCTCTACCTGCAGCTTGTTATGGCTGCAGTTCTGTGCATATCATTGAGGGGGTTTTTATTTATCTAGAAAAGCCAATAATAGTGAGCCACATAAAAATGCATTGGCTTAAATGTTGTTTTCACTGAGGTAAATTAAGTATCCGTTGAAGTCAATTGAACTTCATTTAGTTACTTGGATCAGGAATTTTTATGTTTAAACTAAACAAATCTTCTAGGATCAGTTTTTCCCCTTGGAGCAAGGAATAATTTCTTCTTGGCTTTTCCAGAAATATTTATCCAGATAAGTGAATAACATCTATATTTTGGGAATAAAATTTAGAGTCCAAAAGAATTGAAATGCAAACTCCCATGGCAACCTACAGAGGGAAAATAAAAACAAAATCCAGAAAACTAATGCCTACTATTACAGTAATACAAATTTTCCTAATTTTCAGCAGCTACATTGAGGATTAAATAGTTAAACCCAAACTGGAGTTACTGTTTGACCCAATATTTTGGCATGATAAAATGCTGACCATTAGGCTTTAATCACTGTGTTTAAATCTACTACTTTGACAGTTTCATCTCCTGGAAGAAGCCTAGAGCCAGGCAAAAACAAAAAGGAAAATTTTCAAACTCCTTGTTAGATATAACAATGCTAGATAAATGGAAAAGAAAAGCATATTTGGGGAGATATTCAAAAGAATAATCCTAAACTAAATTATGCCACACTGCATTACATGGACACACACACACACTAATTAGACTTTTATCACAGAAAATAGATTATTTTTTGTGCTATTTTCCAGCTTTTCCCATTTTTGTCAGTTTGTTTATTGAGAACAGCATTTTCTCAGCAATCAAACCCCTGCCCCTCCTGTTACAGCCCTCCCAGAATGGACAAAGTTCCCAGGGATGCAACTGCTGGAATTGCAGTTACCCCACAAATATCTGAAGCTGCACATGGTAGAACCCACCCCTTTTCAGCCTTTGAGACCCAAGAAAAGCTTTGGAACTTCCAGCTGCGTTGTAGGGCAGCACTAAAGGCACGGCCTGTGCCTGAAACACTACAGTTCTCCTACAGATGGGCTTCATTTACTCTTAGAGAAATAAGAATATCCCGTGAAAACTGATTGTTCTAAAATACCCACAACTCCTCTGCCTCAGAAAGGGTTTGTTTTCTCATTTGTGGCAGTGTTATAAATGAGTGACAGAGCATCCAGCACGGAGGGGAAGAGCAGCCAATATGAATTCTTGTTTTGCAGCTCCCGATGGTTTCTCCCACGGCGGCTCCTCTGCAGAGCTGAGATCCACCTGCAGTGAGGAGTTCCTCCCAGCCTGTGATTTTGACTCCTACCTGGATATACTTTCTCAGGTGACCATCATGTATCCTGATCCACCTCCATGGTAAGCACTTGCCTGACATTCTCAGGGTTACAGTCCTGCACTGGCAAAGCCCACTGCAAAAATTCAGCTCACACAAACTCTGAATACAGACAGACCTTGTTTAGCTTGAGTGTAAGTTCAAGTTTTCCTTAGCAGAATACAGTTTTACTAAATAAAGATGTGGACAGGAATTTTCATTCAGTGATATTCACATTAAAATTTATCATAGTGATAACATACTAATGAGACGCACAAGTAGAATTACTTAAAATCATTTTTCTTTGAAAGAAATGCATTTACAAAGTTTCAAAGTTTCAAAGTCAAAAATACATACTTTTTCCAAGAACTTCCAAGTTACATTTATTACTGATCTTGAGAGTGTTCAGATGAGAGGAAACAGAAAAACAAAACTGCAGAAATCATACAGCAGCTCCTAAATTATGTGCCCACAATTTAGGGTATTGTGTGCTTACAGGGTACAGGAACAGCCCATGAGCCACAGGAGCTGCACTTTGGGCCATGGGCATCTCCTTCATGTGCCTCAGGCCACCTGAGGTCCAGAAATGAAGGAATTCAGTTACTCCCTCCAATGAACCAACAGGAATCATTTTAAGCAGAACTTCAAGCTTTCTGTAGTGCTGTGTCTTACAAACAGCAAACACACATTGAACAGCTATGCTCCCCTTTATTTTTCTTTTTTTTTCTTCCTTTTAAGCAGACTCCTTTTGAGTTAAAGCACTATAAGACCTTTTCAGCCCTTTTCTGACTGTGGTATAGAGCAGCTCAGCACTTTGAGCACACCATACATGGATCTTTGCTTTGTTTATTCTGTGCATGTTCTACAAGCAGCAGTTATGTATTACCAGCTCATCCTATATAAGTAATGGGCTTTTAGGGATTGTGTAAATATTTTACCAGAAAGCTCACATGGGAAAAATTACTCTGAGCCTGGCATCTAAGTGTGTATAATTTCATATAAATTCACTTAGGAATTTAGACTGGATTTTGGGCCCACACCCACGAGTCTTTCCTAATAAAAGGCAGCCAGCTGACACCCAAGCAAGACTCTGAGTGGGCAGCTGGCCAGATTCCTGAGAACAAACTGACAATGTAGTTCCTTAGCAGACAGATCATCAAAGATTATAGCAAAGGATGCTTCCATTTCCAGTTGGAAACAGACACAGAGAAGGTTTTTCCACTTCTACGGAGTTGTGTTTGAAGGAGATATGAGTGACAGAGCACAGCACAGATTATCCACAGCTTGCAGTACATTCTGCAGTAGCTCTGTAACAAGCTTGGCAAGGGTTAATTGTCTTGTGTCCTACCTGTTCTCAGAATATTCTGGGACACATAAAGGTGTCCAGCCACTGCCTCCTCCAGCTTCCCTGCTGGGCTGAGTGGACTGTGTCCCTGAGGATCCACTCTGCGCACACTGGAAAACACTGCTCATCCCAGTAATTACAGCCCTGCATCACAGGTCCAAGGTAGAGATTATTGTGAATGGTTTGGCTATTTTCGTCCTGCCACTGCAGTTATATATTTTAGAAAAAGCAGCTTTGGCAAATCATCAAAATCTTAGTAAATTTTATATCTTAGCAACACAATTTGGGGAACTTCAGGGAAAGCAGATGGCTGAAAGCAAAGCTACATGGAGACTTTCAAACTTGCTATTAATGCATTCTCCAGACCATTGTAACTGTTCAGAAAAGCACTGGGTGAAAGGTACTGTCTGAATTACTGCATTATGTAAAGCCTGAAAAATTCCTGTACACCTCCCTTTATATTCTCCTACATGGCATAACACTGCAGCGTCTGTTTTTAATTAGTAGAGCATGGACATTATTTGAAAGCTGACTGTCAGACATGGCCTGGAAGCAGAAACAAGACATGCCTGACCTTGTGCATTTAACTCCCTGGGATCAATCTTATTGCATATGATAATATTTTGAAGAGTAGGTTTACTGAAACACAGCACTGCCTAAATGAATGTAATTCCTCCTCCTAATTCCTGGAGGGCAAGCAGTAATTTAAAGCTAAACTAGCAAGGCCAAAAGGTAGTGCAGCTGTGGCATCAGCAGAACAGAAATGAAGAGCAGCAAGGAAAGCAACTGCACTGGTAAATAACTCTTAAAAATCTTTGAAGTGAGAGAGTTCAATGAGTTAAAAGCAGTGGGTGCTGCCAGGATAATTTCCTTTATCCACCTGGTGCGGCAAGGGCACCTGCATTCCAGCACCCAGCCAGGAGTGTGCAGCTCCTCACACCATTCCTGTCAGACCACACACTGACATGGTTTCAGGAGAAAGCACAACACCTTTATTTGGCCAAGGGGTGGTTAGTTACATTTTATAGCTGAGCTTTAAACCACAAAATGAGTGGAAAAGGGATTTAAGAGGAAGACTGATGAAACACAGAGGCAGTCCCTATGTCTGTGGCTGAGCTCCCTGTTCAGGCCTCCCCACTCCCAGCTCTCCAGCTGGAAGTCCAATAACTGTTTATATAAAACACTATTTATAGAAAAAATGTTATTGGTTAATTAATCTATGAAAAATGCCTTGGGATATTAGTATTTGCTCTGATCTCTGAATCACAAGTTTCATTTGTGGCTCAATCTGATTATCCCCACAGACACTTCCACTAACCCCTTTCTTGCATTAGATTAAGGGGGGTGCCAGGCATGGAATTTTGTCATTAGCCTGCTGTAGTTGCAGGGTGGTTACAGAGAAGCCATTTGGTCAATTTGTTTTGACAGCCCAAAATATACAGTGCTGCTATCTATAAACATCCCTTTAGGACAGTTAATGGCTTTTTAATGAATCTCAGATCTGTGCTAGCATCTGTCACATTGATTTTACATGAGGCGTAGATGGGAAATACAAAAACAAAATACAGGGGGTATGAACCAAACAGTTTCAGAATATCAGGGGTTTGTATTTCAGAGCATATTTCTGATATGTACAGATACTGGCAGCAGGGCTGGAAGTTAATGTTTCATACTCTGTGCCACCAGACATGGCAAAGCCTTTGTTTCTAAGAAATTCAGTGTGAGAAAGATGATCCAAGTGATCTCCCAACAATTCTAAACCACAGAATTCTAATCCCTCCCACTGAACACATCCAGCCAGGACAGAAGACAAGCACAATCTCCCTGCCACATCTTACCTATCATCATGGTCAACATGGCTTGGAAAGAAACACTGGAAAGCCTGTAAATCCAGTATCTGCCATTTTGTTCAACAGTCACTGTGCTGGTGGGAGTAAAATCACACTGTTGACACTGTGGGGATGAAACCTTTTAGACAGAAACCATGAGCTCACATTGACTGTGCTGAGTTCTCTGTAACACACACTTCTAGTGAGCATTGCTCGTTATCTGCTTACAAATATGGAGTAAGAAAGCTGGTTAAAAATAATTTGAGTTCACATGTTTGAAGTGGATTGAATTACAGCACCAACCAAAGTCCAAGTAAATTAAAAACTATTACATTTTCTTTAGGAGAGTCAGTAAAATCCAAGCAATGAGGAGATTTCACAGCAGGAAAGGAATTTTATCAACTTCTCACCTTGTGGCCAGGGAAAATGCATTTCACCCCACTGCATAAGTGCTTTTTCACTCCTTAGTGACTGGATATTAATGGTATGTACAGAGCTTTAGGCAACCAAGATTATTGCCTGAGACTGGTGAGTGTCTGACAGAACATCCCAGAGGAATGACTGCTCAGGAGGATGCAGGGATTTACCTTCAGGAATGGTTTTATTGGGAGCCACAGAAGTCCTCTCCAAACTTCACAGTGAATGTTCCCCACAGGGCACATGAAGTAAAAAACCGTTCAGCCCCCTCTACCCCAGCATTCACATTAAATCACATTGTGTGAGGGTTTGTTTGTGGGCTCACTCTTCCTCAGCTGGTCACCCTCCCTAATCTACACAGGATCTGTTCTAAAGAAAATTGTCTTATTTAGGCTTGATAAATCCCAGTACTCTCAATAACCATGTTCAGCCTGCATTGTTTAAATGGGCAAATCAATTAAAAATTATTTTTAAATCGCAGAAGGAAATGCTCCCGTCTTAAAGTCAGACACTAATTTCCCTTTAAATATATATTTTAAAAGGCCTACTTAAGGGACTTTCTTTTTTAAGACATTCTTTTCCATCTCCCACTGCTGAGGATGCAAGTTGGCCAAGCCAGCCTCCTGGATTTTCTTGAAAGGCAGAATTAGGCTTGCAGGGAACTGACACAAAATCTTGCTATATTGTGCTGTATTCCTTTGCCAAGGCTGTTTTCCTGAGAGCAAACCAGGTGAGGAGATTTTGCCACATTACATTGACAGCTGGCAAAGCATGAGATGGACATTTGGGGTTAAGTTCAGCTCTTACATCAATATCCCCACTGAGATTTTTCAGTTAGTAAGGTAAAAAATGTCACTGGAAATATGACAGGTTTGTAATTCTGTTAGGTATCATGAGCCTAAACACTCAATTCCTTTAACTCCAAATTCCAAACACTCTGAAGCCCCTCCCTTCACATCCCAGTGCTATTCCTCATCAGTATCAGGGATAGAAACAAGTAAATTCCTAATTATTTTGGCAAATTTCTTCTTTCAAGCTTAACTTTGTTTACAGCAAATTTATGAGCATTTCTTTCTGTGGCGTTTCCATTCCTCTTAATTATCCACACCTTTCTCTTTTTTCTTGTCTTTGTAGTCAGAAAATGCTCTCACACCTCAGCCTGCGTGTTGGGAGGCTGGGGCACAAAATTCCCTTTGCTTTCTGTCATCAAAAATATCTGTGGCCACCTTCTGACCACCCTCTCTTTACATCTGCCCCAGTTCCTCTCTGCAGGTGCAAATTATTGCTGCATAAAAAACACCCTGCAGCAGTGAAAGCAGCAACACCTCATGGAAGGGAAGCACCAAGGATTTCTAGGCAGAAATCTACAGTGCTATGCAGAGCAACCACAAGTTAAAGCTCCAAATATTTGATGACTGTACTTTAAAAACAAAGAGTATTTTTCTCTGATTTC